GCACCCCCCCACACTGCTGCCTCTGATAGTTAGACATAATCTAGTCGAGTATAAGGACCAATATCAACTCGTGATAATTATATTTCATATCGCAAACTCTAGAATTATCAAAGATTTCCATTATTCGTAAAGGCACATAACAAAATACATATTTCTCTGTGTCGTAGTCATCTCCGAATATTTATATATATAGTTGTCTCACTCGCACTGTACATTTCCATCCATATTTGTTTTTTTTACTTAGAAGACTGACATTTTCGGGCAGTGCAATAATTGTAAGTCTGCTAATAATTTTAAGTAAATGGAATTCCACGGCAATTATTATGTGATTAGTAGAATGTATTATATTATTAGTTCAATGAGAAATAAACTTTGAACGTATTTTTAATTTGCTGGGAATAATAATAGCAACACTGTCCAAATAGCCCACACGATAATGGTTCACGTAGATCACCTTTAGGGAAATCCCGTTAGAGTAGAGAAATCTCTACTTTAATGGCAAGGACACACCCGAGGGATTATGATCCTAAAGGTACGCGTCTGTTTGCCGGCGCCGGAAGCATCGCACGCACGCACGCACGCCATGCAACGGATTGCGTGTTAATAAATGTCATCTTTTGATGCGGCCGACGCGGAGAATGAAGGCGAAGCGGTATGTAAAATCATACAAAGCAAACTAAAATCCGGCGCGGGCCAATAGACGCGTACTTTAGCCAGCGTCATTTTTTACGAGTATTAACACTGAAGAAGTTCAACATTTGAATATACTCATATAGCTATTGTTGCGTAGACATTCTATTTAATCGTAAGACAAAATGTTTCCCAAATTATTTTAGTAAATTATAATGAGAAATGATCACTTGATTATGAATAAGTGATTATATTGCGAGATTGGAAATGAGAACGAGGGATTTTGGGAATAAAGGATTGTGATACTCATTGTACTTAAATTATAGTTAATTTATTTAATTTTACGTTTAACATTAACGTATTATGTAAATAAGCAGTCAAATATATGTTTTATTTGCTTGAAATAGTTGAAACTTAAAGATTTACGTGTAGACTCCGCATTTGATGAATGTTATTTAACGATTGTATTTCATTTACATGTATTGTTTAAAGTGTTTAGCATTTTGTGAATTTATCAAACGCACTGCTCCAAAACTGCCATTTTATTTTAATTATATAGCCATATTATCTGTGAGTTGGTTACGTAAATAATGTAATATTATGATGTAACATGATTGCGGCCATTTTGTTCAACAAACCCTTCTCAAATATTATCTTATCTAGAGATGGATAATTTTGTTTGGGATTTGTTTGTTTCTAGTCATTTTTGTTGCTTTTGTTTTTAGATATATTTTTAAACGTTTGTATTATTTAATTTATGATTTATAAAAACAAAACAGCAACGATACAAAGAGTTATTAGTTTTAATAATGAGAGGTGTATGAGATGAGATGAGATATAGAGGGAGCGGTTGTTGTCCGATGTTCGTTCCATTGAAATGTCGCCAATAAACGTTTGGTTTTATAATTGAGATGGCTGTTTTATTTACTATTCTGATAATTTGGATACACATATTTATGTCATAAACGGTTGACTAGACGAAAAACAACAATATTTTTTTTACGAGAGCTTAGTGTTCCACGAAATGGAGGGAATGCCACTGAAAAAGAAAATAAAATATTAAAAAAGCTTAAATTGATTCAAATGATATAAATTCAAAGATAGTAAAATATAACATCGGAGCTTTAATTTTAAAGGTACTCGTTAGCGCTGCGCCTCAGAGACGGTGTTTAAATTATCCTTTACGGATTATTGAGGGGCGCGTAGCGTAGCGTCGCCGCCCGCCCGATGCACCCCGCGCACCCTCACCGACTCCGCGCCCCCCGGAGGACCACCCGACCCCCCGGAGGACCCCCCGGGAGACGCGCCGAGCTATGCGATGCTACTTACTCAATGTTAAAGCATGCTTTCACAATGTAATCTATTTTGAAGAAACGTTTGGGCATTTGGGAGTTCTCTCTTACATATTTGATCCTTTCCTAAAGTACTATTGTATAACGTTACATTTCAATACGAAGTATCAACTTTTGAATAAAGAATTTATTTTCGATCTCATATGTAGTCAAAGTATGTGAAATAAATATGTCATCTGAAACATCGTTATATTTTGACGAATGTGAGCGGCAGGTGCACAGTTTAGTGCTGCCATTTGCCATTTTTTATGATTTGAGTTGCAAAAGAGTTTGCACTATGATATATCAAATAAAAGTTATACATGACACGTACGAAACACGTTGCCAAGCAACAGTTTTTTACTGCAATTGTCATTCAGCACCTTATAACTGTTCCACATTTTTTACTACTGCTTTACTTACTCATAACTTAATTTCTCAAACATGCCGCCTAAAAAAGATAAAGGTAAGAAAGAGGATCATCTGGCTGGGGCATTTACGGAAGTAGAAAGAACTTTTTTGGAACAAGAACTAGCGGATTGTAACAGAAAGCTAGCGAGGCTACGGGCCACCGTCGATGAGTACGAACAACAGAACGATGACTTGCAGAAAGCATACAATAAGTTGGACGAGGAGCGCGCCGATATCATTGCTTTCCTAAAAAAGAACCTTAGCGCCAAAAATGAAGAAAACAATGAATTGAAAGAAACACTCAAAGATCTCGAGGAGACCCGGGCTAAGGAAACTGTTAGGTTCAAAGAAACAATAGCAGATCTAGACAAACATTTCATACTAATGAAGGACCAATTGACGTCTGAGAACAAGCTAATGGCGGGCAAGTTGAATACTTTAGAAGAATTTCGGGCCATTAGAGATGACCTCATGAGAAAATTTGAAAAACAGGAGCAAGACTTTACAGATCAAGAAATGAAATACAAAAGAGTTATTTATGAAACCGAAAAGAAATTCGTCATCGGTAAAGATAAATTGAAAAAAGAAATGGAAGCCAGTCTTTTAAAACTAGCACAAGACTTTCAAGACGCGACCGAATTAAGAATCGCCGCATCTACACATCGTGTGATCAGAGAAAATATAGCGATTAACAATGAACTAGATAGCATCCTATCGACTCAATCTAAACTGGCGGAACAAAATGAAAAATATAAAGAAAGCGAACGAACTGCGCGCATTTCCATGGAACTAGCAGAAGAAGAGAGAGATAAGGCAATAAACAAAAGCATCGTGCAGCAAAAGGTTATCAATCAACTAACAACAGCATTCCAAAGCCTCAATAAGGAAAAGGCGATTTTTGAAAAGAGAAATTATGACTTTGAAGTGCTACAGGCAAAAATTCAAAAATTAACAAAAGAAAATGAAAATTTGTGTTTGCAAGTCCGCATTTTGGAACAAAACTTTCATGCGAAAACGACCGACCAGAATAAACACATCGTTGAGTTTTCTAAAGTAAAGAAAGAAAATGCAAAGTTAAAGAAAATTTTGCAAGAAGCGGCTACGGCGGTCCAGGCCGCGTTAAAACTTGATCAGTGGTCGTCGATAGATATCACTCGAAATGTCATGGATCGGGAAGTTTTGCTTTCTCGCTTGCTTGGAATAATAACCCAGTACCGACAAATAGAGAAGGCCGAATCAGCAGACACTTTGGTCTCCTTTGGAAGAATATACGAAGAAGGAGATTTAGGATTCATTCCGAAACCGAGTTCTAAAAAGTCGATGGGATCTACTCTGTTCCTACCATCGTCTAAAGAAACGATCCTAAGTGAGAAGGAGAGCTTGCCCTCGGTGGCCGCCTCGAGATCCTCTTTAGGTAGCATTAAAACGATACCCAGTTTGAAAGTGTTGCCCGCTGTGTCCGATCAGGATGTGGTTATGAGAGAAAGCAGTCCGTCGTTGTTATCATCTTCTCGCTCGACTAAAACGCCAGAGACTGTTGAAAGCGAAGAGGACGAGGAGACAGATGATATTGAAAAACAACTAATGAAGAGTAAACTAGAAATTCAAAAATCTATCATGAAAGACTTGGCGTACTCACAGATGACTTTGAGTTCTAAACAAAAATTCTCTGAAGATCGACAAAGGTCTTTACTTTCTAAGATAGCTATTGCCGAAGCCAGTGAAGCTGGAGAGGGAGATAAGGATGGAGATGAAAGTAAAGATATAAATAAGAACGACCAAGAAGAAGACCAAAAGATTAATGAACAAATTTCTGAGCAAACTGGCAGTGCTGATGAACAAGCAGACCAATAACAACTTAACGATATTTATTCATATCTTTTTATAATGATTTATCAAAGTTATTCATTTTAAAAGTTTGAATGTTTTTTCTATTATTTCTTAGTTATTTACCTAGTTTTGTATTCGATTTTAACTTATTTTAAAATATACTTTAAGAACGCAAAAGGTGATTTTTTAATTCAAACACACAATTTCTTTTTCAATACTGATGTGTATGATATCGCAAATGTGTTAATGTATAGAAAATAAATAAGTGAATTTTGAAGTTAGCCTTGGACGTGTGCAGCTCTGTTTATGACTTAGTATTGTTTTATTGAGATCTTATCTCGCTATTTTCTGATTTCAACTATGTACATATATCATACCAAATTCTGAATGGTATGTTACAAATGACGTATAAGCTACGTCAACACAATTGAATGAAATTATCAATCAAATGTTTTATCTTTATCACATTGTACTTTAGACATGTTACATCGACTGAGGAAAGCTAAAACATAATTTTTTAGTAACTGAATATTGCCACAATAAATGACGATCAATGAGAAAACAAAAACGTGCCATAGAAATATATGACACTAACGGACCCTTTCATTTCTTTTCATTATTTCCCAAAAGTCTATTAGTAGGCAATTTTGAGAAGTTATTTTCGATAGGGACATAAATCGCGAATTGGGGTTCTCTATTCAAAAGTGTCTTACACTTTTTACACAAACTTTTGTAACGTTTTTATATTTAGTGACGTATTTTTAACATTATTTGCTGTTAACTTTGTCTCATGTTTACAATAACTTTTGTAAATAAAACATAAACAGTACACTCGATGCAATAAATAAAAGGATAAAAGTTTGTTCCCATGCGGCTAATGCTTTAAACACAGATAAAAAATGTTAAAAAAGTTAATTAAACAATAATAACAAAATAATTGCGTATTCTTATATCTTTAATGTACATTTATTGTTACTTTGTAGTCTTGTTTAAGTTCATGTTAAGTCTGATTGGACATAAAATTGTTTTCTATTTTAAATACAGCATTTGCAATGTGTTATGTTTCAGAGTAATTTTTTAAACAGTCCTTATATATCATAATGTAAATATATAAGCATCTTATCATATATTTACATATATCGTTAATTTTGTCTAACAAAAGAGAAAGTTCGAAAGTAATTACTTGTAATACACATAGCAGGTTTCAAACTGCCTTCAAAAAAGTCAAACAACGTACTCCATGATTACGACTAAAAGGTGAATAATGTAAAAATAATACTTTTGACAGTATACTGTTGGTATAGGATCTATCTAGAGATAGATTGATAAAGATATTTTTATGCATATTAATATTGTTCTTGACAGTCAGTTAATCTCACGAAAAATAATAAAGAAAGTTTTGTTCAACAATGAAAGCTCTCGCCACGCCTGTTCCGACTGTTAAGATATTTATATTGAACTTGTATAGACGAGGGAGTTTGTTAAATTCAATTTATGTAAGTGGCAATTTACAGGCAATTTTCGAAGGTTAATTTTGTATGAGGCGGGAAATTGCGGCCCTTCGGTCACTTGTATTAGATTAAATCTTACATTTATCCAATCATAAAGTTCATTTCTATTTCTACCGTATACATTAATTTGTTTTTAAAATGTTAGACAACATTGTTGTTACTTTTAATTATTATAACAAACCTCACGTACGTTCTAATGACTTCCAAATAATCACGTTTATAACTAAAATAGAATTTGAAAAAGACTTCAGCAAACATACTCGTAGTCAGTAGTATGCCAGAAAATGTATCGAGATTATAAGATGAAGTAAATGTCCTCCATGTAAAGCAAAGTTTAGAAGCTTTTTAAACAGCAGCGTGTGTTCCAGCGCGTGTACCAGCGCTGGCTGAGCGACAGGCGACACCCTCCTCGCACCACCGCCTCTTGCTGCACTTCCCAGGGGGCGGGGGGTAAGTGTCGCTTAGTTGACGTTATTGAACAAAATTTTCATATGAAGTTTTCATACACATTTTATGCAGCTGAAAAGGCAAATTTCTACGCTTTTAAGGTACTAAATAAATCTTCACTTGATGTTTATCTTGAAATGCTCTGATTATCACATTAATTCAACGGGTTTGTAGTAGTACCTGCACGTCCTTATATTACTTTTTACTTTTACAATGTTAACACTGTAGCTGAGGACGGCGAAGCCTATTTTCGCCAAACTAATTTTTGAAAGTAATTACCTTTCCATCATACATTAATGGAAATAATTTTAAGCTAGTGAACAAGTAAAGTGGGCAGAGGGCGCGCTTTCCGGACTCCATGAAGTTGTACAAAACCGCCGCGTTTGCACTAAGTACTGAGTTTGTACAACTTCCCACAAACTCGTTATTATTCCGCTTCAGGAATATCGACGATCAAGTTTTTCTCATGACGTTGTACTGAATCTCATGCAGTTGTTAAATGTGCCTTCATACTTTTCTCTAAACCTAACCTACCTTTCATTGAGTCGTCTGCATATATGATGATATATTCTTTTATTAATCGATTGTCATACAACACTCTTTAACGTTAACGCAAACCCGCAATAAATAAAAAGCAATGATAATGATTATAAAAAAAATTATTAGTTGCTTTAGCGAGATTATATGTACACGTTGTACATCGTAATTAGGGCACTTTAGAAATACCTGTATATTTGCATATCTTGTCTGCTACGGTCTTATTGCAGCTGACTGTACCGCGATAACAGTGTGAACAATTTTTTCTTATCGTTGATTATGTAATCAATATATCGCGGGCATGACCTTGACATTAATAGCAATAGACAGGTGACCGGTTACCGTAACGCGTATATGTATAATATAATTTAAATTTTACATAACAAAAAGTATCATCAAAACATTTGCATTGCTTATTACTATAACCGTATATGTGCATTTACATTTAACAGCCTTTTCATGCTTGATAGATAGTTTAGCAATTTTGTAGTTCACATTATTGTTGGCTATGGGGTAGTAAACTAAAAGTTAATTCTTGGCTCTATATTCAATTTTTGTAAAACTTTATATATTCGTTCACGGAGCACATTTTGTATTATACTTCTGATAGATGCGTTCCCAGAATTGTATTTCGTCGTTATCTGGTGCGGTGCCGGGCACTAGGTACTCCCCGATGTCCAAGTAGTCTTGATTCTCCAATGTGTATGGCTTCCAGATCACGCCAAGATTTGCATCAGGTGTTGGGTTACTATTAACAAAAAGAATTTAATTGGGTAACAGTAATTAGAACATGATGCGTAGTAATATTTAACCCCAGTTCCAGTCCCGCCAGATCCCGACGAGGCTGATAAAAATTAAGATAAGTATATCAAGTAAGCCATGAATTTCAAAGATTCTGTGTCAAGGAGAGGATAGAGGAGGTTAATGTTGGGAGACAATGTACACTAGGAAATATTGTAAATTACATTTATAAGATTTCTTACCCATATTTAGCGAAATTTGTCCAAAGCTTGGTTACTTGATCCATCATCCTGTAGAATGTAGAGTTTATACCCAGTCTGGGACTCTTTTTTGCGAAAATTTTCATAGGGAATAGATAAGGCAAGTCGTCTGCATGGCTGACCACAATCTTGTCGCCTACCAGATGCGACACTCCGAACAAGTTTTTCATTATGTTTTTTTCAGATTTGCAGGTGAATTTGTACAAATAATTGTTATTGCTGCCATTTTTTGCACAAAGTTTTTGCCACAAAATCGCAGGATATATAAAGCTGTCGGCGCCGAGGAAAGCATACAAACGATCTACGTTACTCGTAGAAACTTCTTCGTCCTTAAAATAGTATTCCTTTATCATTTTTCCCACTTCCATTTGGTCGGTTATTTTACCGTTGTAGATTACCGGTAATGGTGCGAAGTATTCAGGATACTTGTTAGCTTGATCGAGTACTTTCGGAATGTCCAGTCCGACGGATATCATCAAAACTCCCTCGTCTTCTGTGTAGCCGTTCATGACATCCACGCCTTCGTGAATACCGGCCCGTAGTAGATCATTGGGGGCACCGGGCATGAACCTTTCATTGTCGCCAAATTGTTTTTCTTCAACAACATTGAAGTATATAAAAGCCGACTCTTTATTGGCTTCAGCGTACGTCAGTTTAATACGTTTGTCGACTAGCGCTTCCACAGGCTGTGCTTTCAAAAATTCGTATACTTCCTTCTCATCTTTGGAGTCGCATCCCAAATCTTTAGCCAGTTGTAGTGATCTTTCTTTTACCATAGAGGTCATCGCCCACGGGCAGGTGGAGTTGCCACTCTGTGATATTGCTCTCTTGAATAACCCTTTGCTCATGGGTGATATAAGGTGAAAAGATACGCTTGCACCCCCCGCGCTCTCTCCGAATATCGTAATATTTTCGGGATCTCCCCCGAAACTGGCAATGTTTGTGCGCACCCACCTGAGTGCAGCTACCTGGTCCTTCATGCCCGCGTTGCCGGGCACCTCCGCCGTGTCCAGGCAGAGAAAGCCGAGCACCTCGAGTCTGTAGTTAATCGTGACCAAAATGACGTCGAGTCTAAGTAAAAATTCTGGCCCATATAACTCATCGGAACCGCTCCCAGCGATGAAGCCTCCGCCGTGAATCCACACCATGACTGGCAGAGGCTTAGAGGGGGATATCTCGGGGGTGTACACGTTAAGGTACAGGCAGTCTTCGCTGCCCTGAGTCGGGGTGCCGAAGAAAGGATCGTAGTGGTAACAATCTTCGCCCAGCTTCGTCGCGTCTCGCACGCCGGTCCATGGTTGTGGCGGTCTAGGAGCCTGCGAGATAAATATAGCAAATGCGTATAAACCGTTTACGTTAAATAATAGACAGTGACATTTAAATATAGAAAATAATACACTATCTATTAATCAATGGCTCAAATGCTAAATATAATAATAACAATTGAAATAATCTTAGTTTGTTAGTTATTAATATCTTTGTTTTTGTTGACTAAGATAATAAGTAGTTTTTAAAATCTCAATTTTTATTTCTTTTATTTGGTCGCTTATCTTACGAACATCCGGTGGACTTTGTAAAATAACAATTAACTAATCTTACGATACGATGCGATAACGATTCGTGTTTCCTTGTTGAGCAGTTATTTGTTTAGTCTACGTCGACTGCCATCATAATTTTAAATAGCTGCTATAATACTAGTTATTATGGTTGGAAATTAAAAGAACTCGTTAACTATACTGAACCTTGACTTATTCTGACCCTTCCTTTTCTTACCCTGAATCTCAGGTCTCCCACTGGAGGCTCGGCATAGGGAATGCCCTTAAAGCTGTACAACTGGCCGCCGTAATTATTGTGCAACAACTCTCCCTCTAATATCCCCTCTTTCACTGTAACCTGCACCATTCCTGATTCTCCTGTACACACCAAACACAACTAAAATTGTAAAGTAGCGACGACTCTATATATATATAGACTGATTTTGATGATTCATTGCGGTTTAGCGTTTTCGTTACCTACACATCAAAAGTACAGTCAGCGCTAACAACGGTACAATATTTTGTTTGCTAATAAAAAGATGCTTTTTTATCCATTAATTGTCATAAACATAAAAACTTGGACAGTGTTTCAATTGCATTTAAATATACGTAAACCCTTTTATCGCACGCTAAATTTGTATTCATGAAATAATGATTATTAAATTATGATTCAGCGTAGGCTTCCAAAATGAGATCTTGACGAATATGTAACATAGTACTTATACTGAAGGCAGTTTTGGTGATACGTTTTTAAAGATAAAACATACTGTTTTGTGACCACGTTGACATACGCAATTTAAACCATCGGCGGTGATCAAAGGGTTAAACACCCGTGTTTAACTAAATAGTGTGTAACTGTATTTTTTGTAGTTTCTTGATGACATAAAACTAAACCGAAAGTATTACTTTTTTATTTCAACTAAGTTCGACTTTGGGGTCAGGGAAGCGTATTTAAAAAAAAAACTTCAAATCCACTTTTTATAGACATGTTTCCCCTTGATGAATAATTTATACTTCCAGAAATTCGATAATTTTTCTCAGCAGAGGGTACCAAAAAATGTAATTGTGGTCGATGTGGACTGTACATCGATGGTACACTCGGCGAGATGACGCGGAAGCGAGAACTCCAATTGGTCCTAATGTTACGGCAAGGTCACACCGACGCTTGATCCAACCGATTCTCGGCCTTTTGCTCATATCCTAAAAATAAGTTGGACGTATGTAATATCAAGAGGTTGATTTCCTAACGAGACTAGGAATTTAAGATAATTAAAAAATTGTACTTGTATTTGCTTTTGCCTGTTATAAATTGCATTGAAGGATTTTCTTAATTGTTGGATCTTTTTGTAAAATAACTAAATTTATTATTTCTTTAATCAAATATTGCAATATCTATTGTTAACTTAAACAATACTTTTTCTTATAATAAAAAAAATATGAATTCGATGAGATAACAAAATGAAATTGGAATACTACAAATGGCGGGAAATCCGGTGGAAATATCTAATCTGATAAACGATAGCTATATTATTTGATTTAAATTCGGTCTTACGGCGCTCCGGTCAAAGGTTAAACCTCGGGACTTGACTTGAGCCACAATCGCTAATTTGGTAGAGTCCGGACTTCAAGACGGAACTGGGAATATAATCCAGAAGTAGGAATATAGGCCAGAACAAGGAATGTAATCAGGAACTCGAAATGTAGGAATTTAATGTAAGATGGAACTCCAATCACTACTTGCTTCATTAGCAAGAGTGAGGCAACAAGGTTTATTATAATTAATGTTTTAAAATTACGTATATTCTTTTAACTAAAACTGAAACAGCTATTATAACAGTTGAGCAAAATTGCATTATAAACTCTTTTAGATCTTTTTTCTAAACCAATTTTTCGACAATGAAGCTTAGTGGTGAAAAGAATAGTCAACGTGCTAAAGGAACATCTATCCGATGGTAAATCGCAAACCTCTATTATTGCAGTTAAATAAACAAAGATTATTTTTATTTGATTACACTCGATGAATCTTCAATAAACGTGAGAATTAGCAGACGTAATAGATTTACGAGTGAAGTGAATTAATTGCACTAATACCTCTTTTTCTACCGTGAATTTGTAAAAACATTAGTTACTGTCTCCACTGTCTGGTAAATGTTGGCCACTTCGTGCAAGTTCTGTTTAAAATCCTTAAATTTAATGGCAAGGATTCTGCAACGTGGTATAGTATAGGTAATATATTGAAGGACGTTTACCTCAATGGCTGTTATGTAAGTATAAGTAAAGTATTTGTTTGTATTTCAGTTAATCTAAACACGTTTCCAATGTTTGATTATCATCACAGATAACGTATTATTATGATAATTATAATTAAACAAAGGAATAAATACAATTTGACAAATACAGATTAACAAAATATAATAAAAATATCATTTTTCTTTTATTTTGCAATATGTTTTATGTAAATGAGACGACGAATAAATGAATAACATAAATAAAGTATTCAATTATAATAATTCACAGACGCTTGTGCATTATTTACACGTGACAATTAACTTGTTTTATATAAAAAATGCAAAAGCCCATTTATTGTTTACAATATTATTTATTTGTACATTATATACTTGACAGTCTGCTATATAAACTTACATTGTGTTAAAAATATTCCAACAATTACTCATTATCACAATGATTCTTTTTTTTTTATATCATAAGGTGGCAAACGAGCGAGCGGCCACCTGAAAATAGGTAGGCATTTGTTTAAACACATTGCTATTGCTCGCGCCTGGCATTTTAAATGACGTTAAAAAAAAACATATTTGTTGCTTTAAATTGTAAATAATCATTAATGACCTGTAATGTTATTGCTTTTTTGATGATATGTAAGCAAAATAAACTGCTATTTAATTTACTATGTCGTACATTTATAACAGATTAGTTACGTTAACGCGCGTGTCGGTTGTGTGCTCAGCTCTCGAGAGCGAGGCTCGTCGCCTCTGTACTCTCACATTGTCTACGTAAAGCGTACACAGCCTTATTATCATAAGTAAAATGCGTTTAAATTATTAATATTCAGTTTCATGACTGTTTCGCAACATTGATTTAATAATTTATGAAGACAATTTTGCGAATACATATTTAATATTCTATCGAAAAAATTGTCCATTGAATTGAAATGTAATTCAAATACTGTTCACGTAGCGTAAATCTATCTGGCGTGTCGGGAATTTGTGAAATAGCACACGCGTTGTTAATGCCTCCACTTATCTTTGTTAATCAAATCACTTTTAAGTGGTAGCACCCACTAATATAACATGATAGAATATATAAAACATTAAAAATAGTATCGTTCTCGTAAACTAGGAAAATAATACGAATTAAACGAGAACACTAAATATTCCTAGTATAATATTTAAAATATGATTCATAATAAAGGTATTGGAACAGTTGTAAGGTATAAATATTAGTTTAATTTGAATATATTGTAAGTGTTGCTTGTATATGTTATGAAATAAGAAATGTTACTGTAGGTATAGTCTTTTGATGCGGTATCTGCGGGAAGCTTTTAAAAGCACATTCAAAGCTTTGTGTGTATGTTTTGTTCAGAGCGGCGCGGCGCGGGCGGGTGCACAATGAACGTCTTCATTGCCCAATCTTTTACGCAAGGGGGCGCCGGGGTGGAGGGGAATGGGGGATGGGAGCGGGACGGGACGGTTTGCCGAAAACAAAGTGTTAACTTGAGCGGAAAATTAGCATTTGATAATGAACGATAATTTGACTGTTGTCGAGTATTTTGCATTATTTAACTGTAGCAGTACTATCGTCCATTTCATCATATTATTATATAATGTCTCAGTATTTGACTAGAATGTTATGAAAGACATACATCGTTTCTTAGTAATACTAATTTGTTTCAAGTTTTGTTCATTACTTTTTACTTTAACAATATAAAATTTAAAGAAAATAACAAGGGCCCATTTTGATTACTTTCAAAGGGTGTCGCCATATTCAAAGTCGTAAAAGTAAGCTTACCACAGTCATAAAGCTGTGACTGCGAGCTCCAACCCTGCAGGTTGTAAACTACTGTATATGTGTGTGTGGTGAGAGCTCGTCGCAACACACACGCACACAAACGCACACTGCGAGCGTTCGATGCAGCGCCACTCGAATTGTTTACCGTCAAAGCTGTGAGCTTCGTTAAAGTTGCGTGAAATTCGCCACTTCAGTTGATGTTTCAAATTTTAAACGACTTTTCTTACGGGAGATTTGTTGCAAAGAAAAATACTTCCTTAGTCGTTCGTTATATGTACGTTAACACACATTGATAAAAGATACGTGAATCTTGTCTTTTAGCTTTCTATATAAATAGTCCTTTGTGCTTAAAGCTATAAGGTTATCCTAGCTACCACAATAATTTCTAGAGCGCCACACATGTGATATATTGAAGGTTACTTGGCTACTTTACCAGAAATAGCGAGTGCTATGAAGGAGCGGCCATGGCCGGCGTCGCGTCGCTCCGGCCGACCTAATTTATTATTGAAACTATTTAATCGCCGGGGTCGTTGTTTTACAACCTAAAATAGAAAACCTTAGAGTAGATTTACTGATTAAAATATTTTTTGTTAAATTGTTTTTAAAATTTTAAAACAATTAATAAGCAGCAAGAATTTCCTTCTACAAAATGAATATGCTTACATAAAATACATATCATTCAGTTATAATTAATAGTAAGGTACAAAATTCCAATATAAATGTAACACATGTAGTCGAAGCTATTAACACAGAAGATTTAATTAAGAAGAGGGTGATCATAAATAGGAAAATAAATGAGAAAAAAATATATAAGGAGTAGCTAAAAGATTTCTCATATAACTGTAGGCACAATATCATTGTTAGAATAAGACAAATGAATGTGTACGAATGATATTTAGGCGCTTCAAGGGTTGTCTTTGTTTTAAAGAGAGTTATGGCGCAACGTCCAGTATTTTGTGAGAGGCAAATCTCTATTATCCTAAACTTAATGCTACAAGTGTCAGTAAATATGTTATTTATAATTAAAAGGGTGGCCGGCAGATGCTGTTACCGTGCTCTTGTTATTAACCACATTTTAGTTTAAAACTTTCATATGTTAAGGACAAATTATATTATCTTCACGTCAACATAACGTCATATAAACATTTGTAATTTTGTATGTATATTTTTTTAATTTTAATCAAATAAAATTATAATGATACATTATTTTTTTTCATGAGAAATTATGAATTAAAAAAATATTTAACCTTCTAACAACGTGGCAGCAGTCGCTCCGAAGATTGGAGAATAAGTTGTGTACAAACAGCGGTCGTTGTTTGTCTCCGCCGGTGATCGACTTTGAATTCAATATC